GAGCCTGCGCGTCCGGAGCCTGTGCTCCGCAATGGGAGAGGCCACAACAGTGAGAGGCCCGGCCGGGTAAAAAAAAAAAAAAAAAAAAAAAAAAGAGTGGGACTGGACCTAGGCCCTGCCCTGGTCATACAGTGCTAAGCCCCATGACCAGCCCTGGCATAGATCTCCGAGGGTCAGAGGAAAGGGAGCAGGCTGTAGGGCCTGGCAAGGGCGGGGGGCTATTTAGCCCAGAGAAGAGGAGACTCAGGGGAACTTCTTGGGACATGCGACCCTCAAAGTGTCCCGGGACAGAAGAGGCAGGCTATCCAGGAGACCCCAGGGGAAAGTGATAAGATTCAGAATAAAACGACCCAGCCCTGCAGGCATTGTCTCAGGAAGGCTCACCACCCCACTCTGAGGTGGAGAGTTTTATGTCCCTGTTTTGGGGCAAGAAATCTGAGGCTCAAAGAAGGGAAGTGACTTACTTGAGGCCATACATCTGGGAAGTGGTGGGGCTCGACTTTAGGAGTTTTTTGTTATAAATTTATTTATTTATTTATTTTTGGCTGCATTGGGTCTTTGTTGCTGCGCTCGGGCTTTCTCTAGTTTTGGTGAACGGGGGCTACTCTTCAGTGTGGTGCGTGGGCTGCTCATTGCTGTGGCTTCTCTTGTTGCTGAGCATAGGCTCTAGGCACGTAGGCTTCAGTAGTTGCAGCACGCAGGCTCAGTAGTTGTGGCTCGCAGGCTCTAGAGTGCAGGCTCAGTAGTTGTGGTGCACGGGCTTAGTTGCTCTGCGGCATGTGGGATCTTCCTGGACCAGGGCTCGAACCTGTGTCCCTTGCATTGGCAGGAGGATTCTTAATCACCGCGCCACCAGGAAAGCCCCTGGGGCTAGACTTTGAACTCACCTACTTCTCTCTGGATCCTGGGGGTGTCTCTGGGGCAGGGGCTGCTATTCGAAGGCCCTCCTACCACACGGAGTCTGACTACCCTGGGTTCAAGTCCCCTCCCATATAAACCATTTCCCAGCTGTGTGACTTTGGGCAAGTTCTTAGCACCAAGGGACATACCTACTACACAGGGTTGATTGAACCTTCGCTGAGTTCACACCTTCAAAGAGCCCAGCACAGTCCTGAGCATATAGCAGGTGCTCTTGCAATGTCAATTCCCTTCCCTTCCATCTATCCATCTCATGCTGGGAGTGCAGGCCCTGGGCTCTCTCTCCTTGCTCTCCAAACAGGCTTTCTCCTCCCCTTCCCTGGCAGGACTGGGACACTGTTGAGAGGCAAGAGGAGGCCCCCAGTGGGGACAAGTTCACCGTGATGATCCCACGGAAGCCACAGGAGGGGCCAAGGGCTGACAGTGCCCGAAGGGCTCCTCCTCTCCTCACCCGGTCCCCTGTAGGAGGAGACACTGCAGGCCAGAGAAAGGAGGGTGAGTACCTTCTGCCAGGCCAGATTGGTCCCTGTGACCACAGGTGTGGTGATGGCCAGGGGCCTGGGAACTAGATAACCATTTCTCTGGCCGCGTGGGCCCCTGGGTACATCTTACTTTGACAGCTTGAGTCTTAATAACAGTAACGGTCCCCGTATAATTATGGAGCAGACAACGTGCCATGCAATCTGCTCTAAATACATCATCTTGCAACTGGTGGGCCAGGATCTTCACGTTGCAAGTGATGGAAACTGGCCGAGTAAAAGTCTAGAGAAATGCCTTCGGGCATGGCTGGATCCAGGTATGCAAATGGCATCCGAAATCTGGTCTCTCCTCTTCTGTCTTCATTCTCAGATCCTCCCCTGATGGTGGCAGGATGAGTAGCAGCGGTATCAGGCTGTATCCTACCTAATTTTCAACTCCCACAGTACGCGGGCACAATCTTCCCTATAGATATAGCTAAAGTCCCAGGAAGGGTTCTCCCTGGGACCCAGCATGAGCCATGTGCCCAACCTGGAGAGCAGGGATGGGATCAACACCCTGTTCAAACTTCATGGTCTGAGAGTGGAAGAGAGGAGATGGCCCAAAGGAAATCAAGGAGGTGTTGTTTCCAGAGAAAGGCAGAAGGCTGCTGGTCAGGTCAAGCCCACAGATGCACATGACACTGGTCAGCGTCTCGCTGGTATGTGAACCCAGGATGCTGGACCCCCAAAGTTTGGGCCCTCCATCACTACTGCACTGTGTTGCCTCCTGGTCTGTGTCTTCAGCATCATCAGGATTTAGAGATGTGGGGCGGGGCATCCATGTCCTAACCCCAGGAGGCAGTCTTGGCTTCCTATGGCTCCTGTAACATTCAATCATCAAACACATGAGCACTAACCATGTGTAAGACCTGATGCTAGATACCTTGGGCATTCAGGAGGAGCCAGACATGGTCCCTGCCCCGAAAAGCTCATCATCTAGTAAAGCAAACAGATGGGAGATGACAAACAGCAGCTCAGGACAGAGGAAGGGCAGAAACAGCTGTGCGGGGTTGTGAGAAGGGCTCGGGGTGAGGGTCGGGGTGGGTCCGGGGTCTGGGGAGAAAGAGCTTCATTCCAGCCAAGGAAGGACTCAGAGGAACACCTTTTGGACGTGGCACTGTAGCTGAGGAAACAGCTGGGTAAAGGCATGGAGGTGTGAAAAGGGAGTATCCTGGTATGCACAGCTTTAGCAGAGATGGTGGTATATAGCTGGGCCAGACCATGCGGGGCCTCAAGTCTAGCCAAGGAGTCTGGACTTTCTTTTGTAAGTAGCAGGGAGCCACAGGAGGTTTTTGTGAAGGGGAGCGATGTAATTGGTCCTGTGCCTTAAGAATTTCACTAGGGCAAGGTGTGAAGGATGAATTGAAGCAGGGCGAGGCAGAGGAGACTTTTGCAGTTTAAGAGACTGTCGCAGCCACTGTAGTGATGATAACTGGTTTAGGCACGAATCACCGGCTGATGCTAAATTCCTGGGTGAAGGGTTGTCAGGGAACAGTATATTCACACGGTCTCAGAGTATCGCCCCTCAGATTACATATCGATTACAGAGGGAAAAGGCACCCTTAGGATGGGAAGATCTGGCAGACACCACCTTAACCAAGTGGCCGCTCAGCATCCCAGCATGGGGCAAACTGGCCAGGTGCCCCCATGTGTTGCACGGGGGAGGACATGGCATCTTTTCCAAGTCCAAGAGAGTGGGAACTGATTTTTGGACAATTAGACAGGAGGCTGTGAGAGCAAGTGGCCCGTGGACAGGGAGGGCCTCTCTGGGGAGGTGACATTGTAGCTGAGATCTAAGTTCAGAAACAGAAGGAAGAGCCATTGAAGAGCCTTAAGGAGTGGGCAGAGGTGGCAGGTTCGAGGAGAGAAGAAAGATGGGGTGATAGGAGCATGTGGAGTGTAGGAGAAGGGGGTGCAGAGGAGGCCAGTGTTGGGGGCCACCAGCAACCTGACCCTCCCTCCCACCCTGTTCCTCCTCCAATCTGTTCTATGTCACCACCCATCTGGAGGCTCAGGTCCCAAATCTCGTGTTATCCTGATTCCTCTTTCCTCACCTTTTATATCCAATCAGCAGCAATTCTGGTCAGCACTTCCAAAACACACCCCAAATATGTCTCCTTTTTGCCATCTTTATCACTGCTCCCCGACCAAACCAGGGGTTATTGCCACAGCGCCTTCAGATCTCCTGTTTCTGCCAGGCCCCTTTAGTCCATTCTGCTGTAGCAGCTGAGCCATCCTTTAAAAACCTTCATCAGATCTTGTCAGCACCCCCGGCCTCCACTGCCCTGCCATGTCAGGCCCTGGGGAGAGTGTGTATGGGAAGAAGTGCCTCCCCAGTGTGAATGGCCTGAGAGCTGGTGGGGTTTTGTACTAAATCCCTGCTTTCTTGCTCTTAAACACAGGGGCTGTGGGGTGGGGGGACCCTCACTATGTGACCTGCTTGATCAAAGGCAGTCACCACTGTCTGCCTGTTGGCAGGTTCCCAAATTGCAGCAGGAGGCCACGGCCTCGGGGGAATTAGCCAAGTCCAAGATGCTGGGAATGCCTTGACATCCCTCTCGGGGCACCTCTCAGTTTGCAGACACACTCCATGGGGCAGGCTGTGCCGAGTCCGGCTAGCTGAGGGACAAAACACAGATGCCCTAGAACATCTGCATAGCCTACCCTGTGTGCTTACTAAGGGGGCTACAGGAATGAAGTCAGATCCTGGGTGGACCAGGCTCCAAGGGATGCTTGTGATGGGTGGGAAAGGGAAGAAACTGGGGCTGAGGGTGCTGACCCAGCTCTGAGCCACCGGGAGTGGTGGTAAACGCCATCTCAGCCAGTGCACACGCTCAAAGGGTGGGAAGACTCCAGGATGAGGTGCAGCTCAGAGCTGGAAGATGGTGGCACAATATTATTGCTCACTTACGGTGTGCTAGACACTTTCCTAAGCCCAGCAGACACAGTAGTAAACAAGAAGGCGAGGCCCCTCCCCACAGGGAGCTGGGAGGCCGGTGGGGGCAGGCAGAGCCTTGCCACACATGGGAAATGCCTGGATTTTATTCCAAGTGCAGATGGGAGCCCCTGAAGTTTTTGATTTTTTTTTGTTGTTGTTGTTTTGCGGTACGCGGGCCTCTCGCTGTTGTGGCCTCTCCCGTTGCGGAGCACAGGCTCCGGACGCGCAGGCTCAGCGGCCATGGCTCACAGGCCCAGCCGCTCCGCGGCATGTGGGATCTTCCCAGACCAGGGCACGAACCCGTGTCCCCTGCATCGGCAGGCGGACTCCCAACCACTGCGCCACCAGGGAAGCCCTGCATTTTTTTTAATCTTTTAGAAGAGTTGTAAGGATAGTACAGAGAGTTTCCATTATACCGCTGACCCGGGTTTTCCCAGTGTTGACATCTTACATAACCATAGCCCTATTATCAAAATTAAGAAATTAACACTGGTAACAATACTACTGACTAAACTACAGACTTTCTTTGGATTCTCCGTTTTTCCACAAATGTCCCTTTTATGTTGCAGGATCCAATCCAGGATCCCACATTGCGTTTAGTTACCATGTCTTTCAGTCTTCTCCCACCTGTGACAGCTTTTCGTCTCTCCTTGTAAGCAGGGGTGATCTAGCTAGATTTGCTTGTGGAAAGGATCTCCCTGGATGGGTGATGACCTTGGGCCCGGAGTGCACATTGTTGGGGGGCTATTGCAACCATCCAGGTGAGAAAGGAAGGTAGCTGAGAGCGGGGAGGTGGGAAGAGGTGGATGAGAGGAGCGTGCAGATTTGGAACATCGTGGGGCATCAGACCATCACGCAACCACATGGCAAATTATTTTTTTGGCCGAATCGCCGGCTTGCGGGATCCTAGATCCCGGTCTCGGCAGTGAAAGTGCCGAGTCCCAACCCCTGGACCGCCAGGGAATTCCCAACAGCGCAAATTTTAAGTGCTGCTCTGTGCGTGGTTCCAGTTCCTCGATGGGTGCTGGAAACTCAGACTTCAGTGACACCAGCTCAGAGAGTTTGGAGGAGGCAGAGGTTTCAAAGTGTGAGAAGAGGGTTTCCATTTTTTTTTTTTTTTGGCCACGTTGCATGGCGTGTGGGATCTCAGTTCCCCCACCAGGGACTGAGCCCTGGGCCAAGGCAGTGAAAGTGCAGAATCCCAACCACTAGGCCATCAGGCAACTCGCCAGAGAAGAGGGACTCTTAAGTGTGGCCTTTAATGAAGGCAGTCGTGGCTCCTTCAAGACAAGGCCCCAATACCCGTTACTTCTCTCCTGAAGCACCAACCCAGGGACACGCACACAGCTGGTGGCCACCACATGCTTGGTGACCAAGGGACTGAGGGGGTGTAGGGTGACACCATGATCATGGCGGCCCCTTCATGGGGATGGGAGTTGTGAGGGGTTCACTGATTAGCGAAGTTACATGAATCCCTTAGATCAGGGCTTCTTAAACTGTAACGTGCATGCAAATCACCTGGGAATCTTATTAAAATATGATTCTGATGCGGTGCCCCCAGGGTGCACCTGAGATTCTGCATTTCTTAGCAAAACCCCGGGTGAGGCCAATGCTGCTGGTTCACAAAAGGAACTTTTTAGAGCGATCACACAAGTCTCACTGGAAGAGAGGGGGGAATTTCTCGGAATCCAGTTGCAGGAAGTAGAACAGAAATGAAAATTTGTTGGTAGCTGCTGTTCGATCTAGCTCTCCCTCTCTCGGGTCACACAGGCTATTTTATTCTTTCTTTCTTTTTCTTTTTTTTAAAGGTTTTTTGATGTGGACTTTTTTTTTTTTTTTTTTTTTGCGGTACACGGGCCTCTCACTGTTGTGGCCTCTCCCATTGCACAGCCCAGGCTCCGGACGCGCAGGCTCAGCCGCCATGGCTCACGGGCCCAGCTGCTCCGCCGCATGTGGGATCCTCCCAGACTGGGGCACAGACCCGTGTCCCCTGCATCGGCAGGTGGACTCCCAACCACTGCGCCACCAGGGAAGCCTAATGTGGACTATTTTTAAAGTCTTTATTGAATTTGTTTTAACATTGCTTCTGTTTTATGTTTTGGTTTTTTGGCCGCAAGGCATGTGGGATCTTAGCTCCCCGACCAGGGATTGAACCCACACCCCCTGCATTGGAAGGCGAAGTCTTAACCACTGGACGGCCAGGGAAGTCCCTCACAGACTATTGTCAAAACTGCTCTTTACGAGTTTGCCTCTTTTCTAACTTGTTCGCGGACCCCCAGACTATGTGACCTTCGGCTCTAGAGCCCACCGCACTTTGACCGAGTCATCCTGGTTTTCAATTTCAAATTCTTGACCTCAGCTTGAGAGCGGCATCTAAGCCCTCTTCCAATCTGTTGCTCAGAGGGGTGGAGTTGTGTGATAGGGAAAGTGGGTCCTCTAAGGAGACAGTGTGGGGTCTGCCCCAATCATCTGTCCCAGGGGACAAAGAAAGGTAGGCTGTGGGAGCTGCCTAGACCTCTGCCCTTATCTTCAACCTACCTCTTCTCTCTCTAGGCTCTGGTGGTGGGAACCGAAGCGCCGGACAGCACTGGGCGAAGCTCCGGGGAGAAAGCGGGTACTTCTTGGAGCGGCACCGGTCAGCGCTGAGCCCGGTCTCTCCTGTGACACCACAGAGCGGTCCTCGAAGTGCCACCCCCCAGGCTTCCTCTCTCCATCGCTCTGCTTCCACACAACTCGATACCTCCCGAGCCTCCTCTCCCCAACGAATTGCCCAACGGGACAACCCCAGAACCTCATCCACCCAGCAGGACACCCCCAGGACCTCTTCCACACAGCGGAACACCCCCAGAGCATCCTCTCCCTCAAGAGTTGCCCAACGGGATAACCCCAGAACCTCGTCCACCCAACAGGATACCCCTAGGGCCTCTTCCACGCAACAGAACACCCCCAGAGCATCCTCTCCCTCAAGAGTCGCCCAACGGGACAACCCCAGAACCTCGTCCACCCAACAGGACACCCCCAAGACCTCTTCCACACAGCGGAACACCCCCAGAGCATCCTCTCCCTCAAGAGTCGCCCAACGGGACAACCCCAGAACCTCGTCCACCCAACGAAATAATCCTCAAGTTTCCTTTCCCCCCAGAGCCACCCAACAAGACAACTCCAGAGGCTCTTCTACCCAACAGGACAGCCCTCAAGCTCCTGTCCCTACTTGTACTCCCCAGTGGGACAACCCCAGACCTTCTTGTATTCAACAGAACACTCCCAGAGCCTCTTGTGCCCAACGGGACAACCCCAAAACCTCTTCCTCACGGCGGGAGAACCCAGGAAGCTCCTCCTCTCAGGGCTGCACCCAACGGGACAATCCCAGGAATTCCTCTCCCCATCGTACTAACAAAGACATTCCATGGGCCTCCTTTCCCCTCCGGCCAACCCAGGGTGATGGCCCCCGAACCTCTTCCCCATCTCGCTCCAAGCAAAGTGAGGTTCCCTGGGCATCCATTGCCCTCCGGCCAACCCAAAGCGACAGGCCTCAGACCTCGTCTCCCATCAGAGCAGCTCAGCGTGACTCACCCCAGCCCTCCTCCAGCCCCACCCAGCACAACTCACCATCCCGGGCCACTTCCTCCTCCCACCCACCGGGCCACCACAGTGCCTCCCGGACCTCCTCGCCTCTGCACCCTGCTACCCGCGGTGCACCCCAGACCTCTCCGGAGCCCTCCCAGCCCCCCTGCACTGTGTGCATTGGGCACCGGGATGCCCCTCGAGCCTCTTCGCCTCCTCGCTATTTGCAGCATGACCCCTTTCCCTTCTTCCCTGACCCCCATGCATCTGAGAGTGAATCGCCCCACCATGACCCTCCCTATATGCCCCCAGCCGTATGCATTGGACACCGGGATGCCCCTCGGGCTTCCTCACCCCCCCGCCACACCCAATTTGACCCCTTTCCCTTCCTCCCAGACACGTCAGATGCTGAGAACCAGTCCGCCCAGCACGAGCCTCCTCAGTTCCCCCCCACTGTGTGTATTGGGCACCGCGACGCACCCCGGGCCTCCTCCCCGCCGCGCCAAGCCCCAGAGCCCTCCCTCTTGTTTCAGGATCTCCCCAGGGCCAGCACCGAGAGCCTTGTCCCCTCCACAGACTCTCTGCACGAGCGCCTCCACATCCCCAGCCCTGTATGCATTGGGCACCGCGACGCACCCTCCTTCTCGTCCCCGCCCCGCCAGGCCCCCGAGCCCTCCCTCTTCTTCCAGGACCCCACTGGGACTAGCATGGAGAGCCTGGCCCCCTCCACAGACTCTCTGCGTGGCTCCCCAGTGCTGCCCCCTCAAGTGTGCATAGGGCACCGGGATGCCCCTCGAGCCTCCTCTCCACCCCGCCACCCGCCCAGTGACCTAGCGCTCCTGGCACCCTCACCTCCGCCAGGCAGCTCGGGGGGCTCCCGGGGCTCGGCACCCCCGGGTGAGACCAGGCACAACTTGGAGAGGGAGGAATACACCGTGCTGGCCGACCTGCCCCCACCCAGGAGGCTGGCGCAGAGGGAGCCAGGGCCCCAGTGCAGCAACGGGGGCCGCACCCGCAGCCCTGGCCGCGCAGAGGTGGAGCGCCTCTTCGGGCAAGAGCGCAGGTGAGCCCAGGGCTGGGGCAGCCAGGTGGGCTGGGGCGGAGGCTCGGCGGCGGCAGGACTGGTGGAAGGTTCACAGGCTTAGGTTCCAAACGAGGAAAGGGTTTAGACCCCCGCCCTGCTGCTTACTGGCTCTGTGACCTTAGGCAAATCACTTCACCTGTTTCCACACCTTAGGAGTTGTTTTTGACAATTAAGTGATATTGTGCATAGCTTAGTGGGTAAGAGCGAAGACCAGGGTCAGGCAGGCTGGGTTCAAATCCTGGGTCAACGGCGTTCGCCAACTGGTGTGATGTGGTAAAGTGATTTAACCTACCTGAGCCTCAGTTTCCTCATCTGTAAAATTAGAACATTAGTACATTAATTTAAATGAGGTTAAATTCTCAAACCCTTTGTTTGATCCAGAGTCACAGGTTTATTCATTTATTTTTTTTTTTTTACACTGTATGTGAGGGAGAAGAAAGTGTCCCAGATTTTTTTCTGCCTTAAAGAAGAAAACTCACAGGTCCCTTGCATTTCAGAAAACAGAGATGTCAATTTAAAACGTATGGCCAGAGCCACATATTTTAAATAAGAGAACCCACAGGATGACAGACTTTTTTTTAGAGGTTAAATGTTCCTTTCCTGGGGACACAGCGACAGCACCTGAAGTCCAGGAATCCCACAAGTCTCCTTGGTCAGTGGCTCCATTCATGCAGGTGTTTACAACCCAGCAGAACGTCTGCTTTTCCCCAGTCTTGGGGAGGAGAAATGTTTCCTCCAGATCCGGCTGAGATTTCTTTCTCCAGCAGTTCCAGCCTCAGAGTCTTTAAGGATCAGGGCTGAAATTCCATTCGTTAAGTTCAAGAGAAGAAAAAAACATAGGTCTGAAAGTCTCAAAACTTTCAGTGTAGAATTCAATAAATTATAGCATATTTACCGAGGCTGAGGTGTACAACCATCACCACAACATAATTTTAGAACATTTCCATCACCCTAACGAGTGGGTAATATTTTGCATCCACAATTCCTCTCTTTGTTGTCCCTTAGAAAACATTTTCTCTTAGATTTGAATCTGCATGAGAAACCTTATCTCTTATTCTTCAAATTTCCTTTTCCAGTAAGTTTTATCCATTTAAAACCCAGGCGACAACCTTTGTGGTCTCCAGCGTTAGTGTAATTCTTTCTTTGGCCTCTTAAAAAAAATACTTTCGTTTTTTTAGAGCAGTTTTTGGTTCACAACAAAATTGAGCGGAAAGTACAGAGATTCCCCATATACGCCCTGTTCCTACACGTGCACAGCTACCCCACTATCAACATCCCCCACCAGAGTGGTCCACTTGTTGCAATCCATAAACTTACACTGACACATTATCACCCAAAGTCCATAGTTCACATTAGGGTTCACTCCTGGTGATGTATATTCTGAGTTCAGACAAATGTATAATGACGTGTATCTACCATCAGGGTATCACACAGAATAGTCTCACTACCCTGAAAACCCCCTTTGTCTTTGGCCTTTTATGATGACTATTTTTGGTCTGATGTCAATTTGCATACCTTTGACTTTACCTGATGACTCAGCAGGGTCTTTGAACCAAAGTTCAATTTTCTTTCCTTCTTTTTTTTTCTCACCGTGATTAACTTTTAGAGAGAGAAAGCATTTATAGTAGAAGTCTGGAATATTTATACTTTTATTAATCATTTAATTGTTTTTACACGGATACTTCTATTCACTTTATTTTGCTCTCTTTGAAGTGGGTTTACCTGTTTTGAAAGCTTTATTGAGGTATGACTGATACATAAATGGCATATTTAGCACATATATATTTTGCTGAAGTAGATTATTTGCTTCTAACCAAGGCTTTACGACTCTACTGAGTAATTAAAAATTTCCCTCTTGTATGGCATTTTTTCCAAGTAGAAAACCATTCGTCCTCTGAAGATAAAATTTTAAAACCTACTTAAATATCTCTAAGGGACAGACTGAAATTTTTGAGTGGGTGGCTATAGAGCTGTACTCTTATTTTCTCCCATTCATTCATTCAACATGTATTTATTGAGCATCTACTCTGTTCAAGCATCGCTCTAACAGGCTGGACATTTTTTCTTAAAGGGCTATTATCACATTAAAGCGTTAGGAATTTTGGCTCGATATCTTCATTCCTGCCCTCTTGATGCCTTTGGAATTTCTTGTCTTAGAATCATATAAGCATTTCCTAGTATCTTGAATTCAAAACAGAGCCTTCATGGAATTAACCTGACTTGACGCCGTTGTCCTTTAATACCCTCTGGAGGTGGAAGAGCCCATGCAAGCTTCTTTGTCATCCTCGGTGCAGCCACACCAACCCTCAGGAACAGGTGGCCCGAGGAAATACTGTTGCTTCAGCATCAGGAGGCGGGGTCTCTGTCGAAGTCTCAGAATTTTCTTGAGTTCTTCTCTCCCCTCTCTCCATTCCACACGGGGGGAGCCTTCTCAGAAGGAATGCTCATTGAACAAGCTGGAGTTTATATGGAAAATGCATTCATTCGGAAGAGAACGCACGTTTGCCTCGCCACCCTGCACAGAGTAGTTTCTGCCGTTATCCTCCCCACCTAGTCAACGTTGGGGTTTTTGCTTCGCAGAGGCTCCTACACCCCGATTCTGAGGGAAATTCACTCTAAGGCATCAGATCTCACAGAGCAAGGAAACTCTCTCGCTTCAAATTGGATTAAAAATTGAACCTGATCAGGCAGCTGTCAAACTTAGAAACAGTTACTCCAGAGCAGGGAACTTTGGTTTCCTGTGAGTCCAATGCTAAGAATGGCTAAAAAATCAAATTAGTTTATGGATCTGATTCCAATAACATTGGCAAAAGCCATAAGACAAGAACAAAGCCCAAGCCCTTAATTGTTTCACTTTCTAAAGCCTCTGTAGAGTTTCAGCCTAGGCCCCAAGCTGGAGGCAGACTGCAGGGTATGGGTCCTGGCTCAGGCCTGAGGAGAGATTCTTCCTGTTTCACTGGCTGGGTCAAGGTCAGCACCTGGTCATCTTTCCCAGGCTTCTGGTTTGGTTCAGCCACCAGAGACACAGCTCCATTTGTCAATTTAGATGAAGTTTGACTCTCAAACCCTCTTGCAATAAATATCCTAAATATCCAGTGGAGTGGTTAGGTCTTTTCTTTTGACCCCCTTACACAGGGGAGGGGAGAGATGTACCCAGATTCTGTTTAATGTTCCTACATTTCAACAGGGATGTCACGTTAAATATTAACAACCATGGCTAACAATTATTAAGCAAGACAGCTAGCTGGAACTAGGGACTTTCTACAGCTTAGAGGTTGTCTTCGTCGGACGTGGCAACAATGCCTGAAATCTGGGTGTCTTAGAAATGACATTTGCATGGATGGTTTTATGTTGGCCTTTCTGGAGTTGTGGGGAAAAGAGGATGTTTCTTCTGATCTTGCTAAGAGCCCTTTAACCAACAGCTAGATGGCTGTAGCTAGTACTGAGGGGAAAAACAGGTTGGCCTGGGAAGTCCAAAATTTACCATATGGACAGAAAATGGGCAGAAAGAATGGAATATGGGGGCATATGACATTCTGCCTCTCCTGTCTCCACCTCATGGATTGCAGGAGTTGAAATGAGATAGTACAAGTGCCTGGGACACAGGAAGTGTTCCATAAATGCTTGCCATTATGATCATGCATGCACACTGCCTGCGACACGGTAGGTGCTCAATAAATCTTAACTTCCCGCAAGGACCAGTCTAGCCTTTGTCTGAGGGTGAACTGTGGGCTGCCAGTGGGGTGGCGGCCAGAAAGGAAGTACTGAGTGAGACAGGAGGCGGTCAAGGCCAAGGCTGAGCTCCCCGACCTTTGCCCACCCCTTTTGTCATTTCATCTTCCCAACAGCCCCATGAGGCAGGTAGAATAGGGCAGTGTCGACTATCCCCATTTTGCAGAAGGGGAAACTGAGGCCCTGAAAGGATCCTCCCTCACTTAAGGCCCTTCAACGAGCTTGTGGTGGGTCCCTGGATCTGCTACGTCTCTTCCACTGGGGGTGGGAGTAGAGGAGCTGGGGTGCCGGGAGTGGGGCAGTCCCAAGGGCCCTCAGAGGGGCGGTGCGTTTGCTCATAGGAAGTCCGAGGCACCGGGGGCCTTCCAGACCCGGGATGAGGGGCGGTCGCAGCGGCCCAGCCAAGTTCAGAGCCAACCTCTCCGAAGACAGTCCAGCCCTGCCCTCAGCAGGGAGGTGAGCACTGCCAGCCTGACTGGGGCCCCTGCACCCCCAAGGGGTGAGCCACAGCTTCTCCCCTCCCCCAGGTGCTGGGCGGGGGTCCTGGGAAGGGAGGTTCTTTACGAAAGGGTCAGAGTCCCAAACATGGGCGTCCAGCTCCTCCCTCTCCCAAAGAGCCAGCAAAATTGAGCCAGACCCCATCAGTCCATCTTGAAGATGGCCCTTCCATGCTGTCCCCGTCCTTCATTAGGCACCTGCCATCTTGAGAAGTTTTCAGGGAAAACCTTCCCATACGTCAGTCCAGCTCTAAGGGCTGTCTCTTCCAGGGTGGGGATTGGTATTTTTAAAGAAACTCTTAGATGGCAGGGCCCAACCCAGTGAATGGAGTATTGGTGGTGGAAATTCCGGCACCTGATAGCCCAGGTTGGAATCAATATCTTGCGGGGGAGGGGGGAGTCCGGAAAGTGAGCAGCTGTTTGCAGATCTTTTTCTGGAACTGAGGAAGGTGGGTGAGAGGGAAGGGCTGACACCCCCAGGGAGGGAAGCCAGAGACCCTAGGTACTTTTTGACCTGCTTTAATCCAGCCTGCCGTGAGGACAGAGCTTGCAACTCCCTGAAGCCTGGCTAAGGCCCCAGTTTCCTGTCCTCCTAGACAGACACCACCCAGTCACGGGCCTGGAGCCTCACCCACTCCCTCACCTCATCCTCAGGTAACCAAGCCCCTCGCGAAGCAGGCAGAACCGGCCCGGCGGAGCCGAGCAGAGCCCCCTCATCCCAGGAGCCCCGAGAGGCGGCCTGAGGGGGAACGGC